CTGCCTGCAGCCAACCCCTGCTCTACCCCCTGCCCTGGCTGCAACAGCCCGTCTCCAGCCAGCCCCACACCCCCTGCCCTGCCTGCAGCCAGCTCTGCACCCCCTGCCCACAGCCAGCCCCTGCTGCACCCTCTGCTCTGTCTCCAGACAACCCCTGCCGCACCCCCTTGCGGCCCTGCCCGAAGCCAGCCAGCCCCACACACACCCCAGCCCCACACACACCCCCTGCCCTGCCCGCAGCCAGCCCCTGTCTCCAGCCAGCCCCTGTCTCCAGCCAGCCCCACACTCTGTGCCCACAGCCAGCCCCTGCCCTGCCTCCAGCCCTGCACCCCGTGCCCTGCCCGCACCAGCCCGTCTCCAGCCTGCCCTGCCTGCAGCCGCACCCCCTGCCCGCAGCCAGCCCCTGCCGCACCCCCTGCCCTGTCTCCAGCAAACCCCTGCCGCACCCCCCGTCTGAAGCCAGCCAGTTCCACACTCCTCTGTCTCCAGCCCTGCCAACCCCTGCTGCACCCCCCTGTGGCTCTGCCTGAAGCCAGCCAGCCTGCCCCATACCCCTTGCCCTGCCTGCAGCCAGACCCTACCTCCAGTCAGCCCCTGCCCTGCCTCCAGCCAGCCCCATGTCCAGTGGTGCCCTGCAGTTCCCAGGGCATAACCCTGCAAACCTGCTTCAATGAGGGGGGCAGGGAGCAGCTGGGACCCACACATGTGCACACACCCCCCAGGGAGTGGTGGGGACCCACACATGTGAAACGGAGCTCATTTCTAGTTCAGGCCCATCGTTTTAAAAAACTTTAGGTAGGGTTAACATACATCCATATTTTCCCGGACATGTCAGGCTTTTTGGTTTGTAAATCGCCGTCCGGGAGAAAATACGGACGTATGGTAACCCTATTGGTACAAAAAATACATACTGTGGCATAGCCCTTAAATCAGAACTTTTTATAGGGAACCGGTTGCTAAGTAATGAAAGGCTTTTTTGACATTTTTTTTTATAGTCATCCCTGCTGGGGCCCCGCCGAAAATGTTCGAATTGGGCCCCGCATTTCCTAAAGCCGGCCCTGCTATTACCCCCCTCCCCCCCCCCCCCCGTCCTGATTGTTCACACTTGCAATCTGGTCACCCTAGGGCGGGAGGGGAGGCTGAGCACTGGGGCGTTGTCATTGTGATTTTCCTGACAGAAAAATATGGGTTGGGTTTTGGGGGGGTGGGGGGGTGTTGGCAAAATTGCAGGTTTCCCATGGAAACCCAGGTTACGAAAGGGGCGGTTTCCATCTGAACAACCATTGCCATGGCCTGCTCCCAGCCAGCTGCAGTGATGATCCATCCAGCCCTGGTTTGTAACTCTCCCCCTGTTAAAATGTCACCCCCACCACCCCAAGGCTCTCACTCCTGTCACACCCCTGTCCAGCTGGTCTCTTATCACAGGGGCCGCAGAGCCGACTGCGCAGGCTCTAAACGCTGCAGCTGCAGGGACTACAGCTCCCAGGCTGCCTCACGGCTGCCCGGCGGCTCTCCTAGCGGGCAGCGCGGCGCAGTGGCTACTGGGAGTTGTAGTCCCCCTGTGGCAGTGGCGACTGGCGAGTCATGGCTTCGGCGGGCAGCAGCCTCGGCGGGGGGGAGGCCGAGCGACCGCACCCCAGGCCCTTCCTGATCGGGGTGAGCGGCGGCACCGCCAGCGGCAAGGTA